TGCTTAAGGGGCCCGCGGCCCCTTCCCCCCGGTCCCCCTCCCCCCCCGCCCCGCTACCGCGTCTCCTGGGCTCCCAGCAACTGGCTCGAAGAGCTTCCCTCACCCTGAGGAACAGCCCGCCAGCGAGGAGACGCGAGCCGGGCGGGAGGCACAGAGGAGACACCGCATTTTTCTAAAAGGCAAGAAAGAAAGGAAGGAAGGAAAAACATAACCCGAGCGGCGCAGAGTGGACTCTGGTCCCGAGGAGCACGGTCGGGCGCCGGAACGTGGACCGAGAGACACCGGAATGCAAACAAAGCTCGCGGGCGCCTGTGCAGGGCTCGCGGGGAAGCCCAGAAAGGTTGTTTTATGATGGCTTGAGTGCGCGAGTGTGTGCAGGAGAGCGAGGCTGCCAAGTTTCTCTCTCCGGTTTCGTTATTTGTGGAGCTATGGTTCTCTCATGAACCAGCGGAGGCGTGGGGGCTCGTGCTGTGGTGGGCACCTGTCTCTCATTTTTTTATTTTTATTTTTTCGGGGGAGGGGTGTAACTCATCATGTCGAAAGTGATCCAGAAGAAGAACCACTGGACTAGCAGGGTTCACGAATGCACTGTGAAGCGGGGACCCCAGGGCGAACTGGGGGTGACCGTGCTGGGGGGCGCGGAAAACGGGGAGTTTCCATACGTCGGAGCCGTGGCGGTGGCCGAATCCGCGGGGCTTCCCGGCGGCGGCGAGGGCCCGAGACTGGGCGAGGGGGAGCTGATCCTGGAAGTGCAGGGGATCCGGGTGTCCGGCTTGCCCCGTTATGACGTGCTGGGAGTCATCGACAGCTGCAAGGAGGCCGTCACCTTCAAAGCTGTCAGACAAGGTAAGACGGGGTGCGTCGACCCCAGAAGAGGGGGGCGGCCTGTAGTTTGTCCCCTCACCTCGGTTTCCCACTTCTCTCCTTGGAGAGCAGCGAAGAGGAGGCGTGGAGGCCGTGCGCCCTGTGGTGGTGCAATACACAAAGTTGTGGGGAGGTCTCAGGTCGTTTGCCCACCTGCGTTCGGAAGGGGGGGTTGGGTTTGTGCAGGGAAGCGGGAAGATGTTTCTCAGGCCAGGTTTGCCAACCTGTTATCTCGGCTGCCAAGCGCCCCGCAGCCTCGCCTGTGCCTGGGGGAGAGTTGGGGAATTGAGGCAGGGAGAGGTGGACGCGGCGCGGGCTCTTTGGAGCAGGATGCGGCGGTGCGGCTGCTGGCGTTGTTTTGCCGCTAGTCAGTTTGCACACCTGGTGAGTGGGTACGCAGGCGGAGCGGGTCTGTGGTTTATTGGACCAACTCCATCAAAAAATCGCCTTCACTTGGCAAAGCCTCCAGGTGGGCTGGAGCACGACCCTCCGGCGTTGCTCAGCCCGCCGCCCGAAGAGCCTGCGTTCGCCCCACAGCTGGGTGACGCATGTGTCTCCGCGGGGTGGCCCAGCCCCAGGCCTGGG